CTGGGGTGAGCACAGTGAGTGTGCCAGGCTGAGCTCCCTGGGCACTGGGGTGAGCACAGTGAGTGTGCCAGGCTGCACTGGGGTGAGCACAGTGAGTGTGCCAGGCTGCAGCCCCCACACAGGGTTTGGTGGGGCCCTGTTTCAGCAGGAGCTGAGGATGAGCACTGTGTGCCCTCCCAGATCTCCCTGCAGAGCCAGGAGCAGCCTGCTGTGGTCCAGAGTTCATTCCTGCAGGTTTATTTTGCAGAGGATGAACTCAGCCTGACATTAACTCCCCTCTGTTAAACACGGGCCAGTTCCTCTCTGGCTCCTGGAGGCATTTGGCTTTCCTGGCAGGGCCACTTGTGTCTCCATTTAAGATGCTATTGTCTAGTCTACTGTTGAATTTTGTGTGATTTTGAAAATCCAGTTTATCTTTTTGCCTTTAGGAAAGAAACAGACTAAACTAACCCTTAAAAACTGCAAAATTTATTTTTCAAATGCAAAAGACATTTTAATTACCCCTGCTGCCATTATCTATTCCAGGCAGCTTTAAGCATTTCCCAGATAACCTCCTATTAATCAGCCCCAGCTGAGCCTGGAGTACATTTCATGTGTAGGTACAGCCTGGAGGTGGGAAAAGAGGAATTATAATAAATTAATAGATAAGCAATCACAATTAATGCCACTTTCCTGAAATAACAGTTATATCATGGGAAAGATATTTTAATCTGTCATTCCTTAAGGCAATGTTTTCCTAGCTTGCAATGCCTGTGCTTCAGCTTCCCCAGTACGAGACCCATGGGGTGCTAATGAATTAGTCTATTATGTTATACTGAATGTTTCTAAAAGGTCCCCAGTCAATACTGAGCACAGTGTATCAACACTTGGCATGAAATGCTTCAACACTTTGCTAGGCAGCACGACTACAGTTCACTGACTCCAGCACAGCCCCATCAGCCTTTTCCACAGGAGGAGGAGGAGGAGAAGGAGGAGGGGGAGGAACTGGGACTGCTGAGCTCTCATCCCTGGCACACATAGCTTTGACACCCAGGTCCCTGCAGGGAGAGCCCCTAAGCTGAAAATCCTGGGGGTGTCTCAGCAGTCTGTGAAGTGAGTCCTTGCAGACGTGGCCAATTCCCAGCCCCCTGGACAAAGCTGTGTCTGCCCAGGGCTCCCAACCAGCCGTGGGGGAACCCCCCCATGGGGGAACCTCCCCCATGGGCTCCACACTGGGATGTCCTTCCTGGACACCCCTATTTCCACCTCTGCCTGTGGGTGCAGGAGGTGGTGAGGATCAGACCCCAGCACTGCCACCACCCCCGAGGAACCCGGGATGGGTTAACTGGGGAGGGGGAGAACGGGTGCCAGGAAGGGGGAGAGCATCACAGGAGCACTGAGAATGAAATACAGGGTGGAGGGGAGAATTAATCTGCAGCACAGAAAATAATGAGTGAAAGGGAATGTAGATGAGGTGGAAAATAGAACCAGATGTTTCAATTTGTGGCTGTGCAGGAGCAGAAAATCCAGAAGAAACTGATCTGGTGATTCTCCTCCACACCTCCCCATGCCCTGACACTCAGCTGGTGTCTGAATTATCCTCTGGTTCCAGGAGCTGATAAATCAGGCTGCAGCTGAGATTTAAACTGGAACCCAGAAGTGATCTGATGGGAGCTTGCTTTCTATAGGAACTTGGTGAAAGGAAGGGTCAGTGGGGAGCAGCAGGGCAGGGAGGGCACCCAAAATACTGGCAGGATCTAAGAGATGGCCAGAATACAAACTGAAGTGTCTGATTAAAAGTTATGAACCTTGAAAAAACAGATTTATTCCAGTGGGTCAGGCACAGGAATGTTGCCCTCCCTCACAGCCAGCTGACATGAGCATTTGTCTGAGGTCAAACAACTGTATTGGCCCTTAGCTGCCCTAAGTCATTTAAAAGTCACCATCATAGCCTGGTTTTCACAGTGCCCTTTAACAGAACATGCAGGTCTGAACTGCAATTTTTCAGGGGGAAAAAAAACCCACAAACACCCAAGGCCTGACCTCTGTTGTGGGGTGATTAATGACTCGGTCCCCGCTGCACCTGCAGGCTCAAGCACTGCATCCATCAGCAGCGAGGCCGGGCCAGGCTTACAGGAAAGATCAAACCCCCAAAGCTTATTAAAGCAAAACAGCCGCAAGAACCCTCACTCCCCCGTGGAGAATGAAGTCTTAGTTGCTGGCAAGTGCTGCTGTTGTTCTGCTTTGCTTAGGGCAGAGTGTGGGACTTGTCCAGCCCTCCGTGGGCACAGCAGAGCTCGCTGCTGATGGATGCCATGGCCAGGTGCTCCCACAGCGTGGCTGTGTCCACCAGCACAGCCCCAACACAGAGCACAGCCCCAACACAGAGCACAGCCCATCCCAGAGCACAGCCCCATCCCAGAGCACAGCCCATCTCAGAGCACAGCCCCATCCCAGAGCACAGCCCCATCCCAGAGTACAGCCCATCCCAGAGTACAGCCCATCCCAGAGCACAGCCCATCCCAGAGCACAGCCCCATCCCAGAGTACAACCCCAACACAGCACAGCCCATCCCAGAGTACAGCCCATCCCAGAGCACAGCCTCATCCCAGAGTACAGCCTCATCCCAGAGTACAGCCCATCCCAGGGTACAGCCCATCCCAGAGCACAGCCCCAACACAGAGCACAGCCCATCCCAGAGTACAGCCCATCCCAGAGCACAGCCCCAACACAGCACAGCCCATCCCAG